TAGCAGCTTCCATTAGCAAAATATTTATTTGTTAGATCTACGAAATATTTACAAAACGCCAATTGAGCATCGAATGACATTTCTCCTGGCAATTCCTGGCCTCCATTTATATCCGGTTGTGTGGTTAGAGTTTTGTTTATACCTTTTGGCTGTTTACCCTTTTGCCAGTTTCCTGTAATCAGGATGCAAGTGCGTCAACATCGCAGATTTGCCCCTTGAACGGAAGCGTTTAATGAAGCGGAAATCGCTGCCAGGAGACATACGGCATAGCACAGCCCAAGGCGACAATAATAATGATAATGATGATGATGATGATGATGGTGATGATGGAGACTTGACAGCCAGCTAGCTCCCTAGGCAAATAGTTAGTGTCAGAATCGACAAAATATTTACATACAATTTCAGTGCGTTTCTGTGCCGTTATTTGTGTGCTTGGAAATCTCTCTCCTCCTGCTCTCCACTCAATTGATAAGCTTTTTCAATTTTCCAAATGGTCTGCACCATAAAAATTTAAATATTTTCGAAATTTAAAAGCCTTGCGGCATGGCACTCAATGTAGCTTAACGCGCATTCCCATTCCATACTTCCCTTCTGTACCCACCCCTTCCATCCCTTTCCCTTCTCTTCTACTACACTTCACTCCACTCAGGCAGCAAAAGTTTGCGTTTACGCAACTTAAGCCCAAATTACATTGTTTTAAACACTTCATTAAGAATGGGCTCGGCCGCTAAGTGCGCGACGATGCAACGCGATGAGCATGCAGGATATAAGGATACGCGGCATGCATCCTGCCTAACGCGTGTTTACCCAGCTCAACGCCAAARTCATTAAAAACTGTGCGCATAGGCAAAAAAAGGAAAACATGAAAACAAAAAACAAAAAACAAAAAATAAAGAGGGGAAAAACTGCATATTAGCGCAAAATACATGAACATGCAAAGGCTGATAGATGATACGAGGGAGTGGCAATGAGACTGTCTGCCAAGCGGCTTAAGTGTCATTGTTCACAGCGCGAGCATTTAAATTCCGTTTCAAGCGAAAGACTCTTCCATGAATTATTCATATGGAGCGGAATTATGTCGAACATATTTATAGAAAATATGTTGGCAAAGCCATAAAGAGAATCTAGTGTTGGTAACTCAAAAATAGTGTGGAATGTACATAAAAATATCAGGAGTATTTTTATATAAATAT